CCTTCTCACGTCTCTGTCCTTCTGGCCGCTTTCCCTGGCCATGTCCCCTGGCCAGCCCTCAAGGCCTGACGGCTTGGGGGCGTCATTCCCCTGGAAGTGTCTTTCTGTTTGCACCCCACGCCCCAGGCTTATTTCCTACCGTCTCTGGGAGATAAGCAGTCCGGGTTCCCGGGTCACTGTGCTCTGGGGCAGCCCTTTTCGCCCCGGGCCTGCTTCCTGCTGCCAAAGACCGCACTCCGTTTTCTTAGGGAGGCAAGAACCTGCTGTAACTGAGGGGCAGAGCCACCTGTGAATGGCCGGGTCACAGGGAGCAATAACTTCAGGAAATTGGGGAAAATGGGCGCAAAACCTGAGCCGCCCCAGACGCCAGGGTCCCTCGACTCCCCACAGCCGTGCCTCAGCCCCAGGCCACTCACCCTGGGGGAACCCAGCCTTGAGCCATTCTTCACGGGCCCACTGACCTCAGCTCTTCCCCAAAGGGAGACCTCGGCAGAGGCCACCTGGCGATGCCACGCCAGCACTGCCTCACTTCCTCGAGGAGGAGGACCTGAGGGTGGTTTCCACCGAGGTTCCTGTAGACCCTTGCACTCACGCGTGCCCAGCGTGAGCTCCTACAGGCCACCTCGCCACGAAGTCCGGTGCTGGGGCAGGAGACGGACAGGAGCCAAGAGGGGGGAGCAGCATGAACCGCGGCGGCCACAGCATGATTCTGCAGCGACCCACGCTCTGCAGCGGCCGTCACAGACTCCCCATGTGGCCCCCTCCTCACACCCCAGCCACCCTGGGCCATGTCCTTCCATTGGTGCAGTCCAAGGGGGACTTGGAGACCGTGGCTGGACGGTGTCCACTGTGGGAATCTAGAAAAAGACTCTTGCTGGGGAGGAGTTGCCCCAGGACACTACTTTTTATGAGAGAGAGAGTTCTTTTTTGTTGTTGTTGTTGTTTTGTTTTGTTTTGTTTTTGTGCTATAGGACACCTGTACTCACTGGAGAGACAAAGAGACACAAAGTGACAAAACACCCCCAGGCGGGACCAGCAGTTAGCGTAATGGCTATGTTGCTGGACTCCCACATAGTCCACCGCGGTTCGGGTCCCGGACCTGGCGGGCTACAACTCACC